ATTACAATATCCATTTGTTCCCATTCTGGTACGTTGGTTTTTGTACATATTCTCTTGCGTCTTTTAGAAGAACTAAATTTTCTTCACCATTACCATTGTTTAGAGCTTGCAATTTGACACTTTCACTTCTCCCTATAGTGGCTAAATATATTCCTGTAGTAGCTAAAATACTCACGATACTCTTCGAATAGGAATTCCTTTATTTTATTTTTCACCTTCATTGATTTTGAAATCAATTAAAAATTACACTGAAAATGCACAGGACGATACACTATGGTGTTCCGTCTTTCCCTCTAAGTTTTTACTTTGATGTAATACGTGCCGAGTGAGTAGGGGAGTATCTGTTTCAAATGTATCACCATTGTTTGGAACGGTATATCCGGCTTATGAACCTTTGGAAGCTAATAAAGTAGGGGTGTTCTTAAATCACTCGGAATAAAGTCCTGATATTCCTTGATGCTCTAATCGCGGACGCCATCTCTCTGTGAACTTTATGAGCAAAGAAGAAGTATCTATAGCTATTCCTAGGATAAACTCATGGGTTTGACCTAGTTCCCAGTTCTGGCAAATATCTACATGCGAACCTTCAAAAAGAAAGCCTGGGAATCGGCAAATCTAAAGTCAAAGTGTTGGATCAGATACGTGGACGAAATACTTGTTATCTGGCTCCAGGGATATAACAACATAGAGGGATTCTTGAACCCAATCAATGGAACAAATTTGGACATCAGCAAATAAAATGGTACTTTTCCTAGAAGTATCAATAACAAGAAAATCGGACGGTACCCCGGGACATATCATCTACAGGAAGCTCAACTGAATATCTGAGCATCACCGCTATCCAGCTGAGATAACAAGATATTGTCAATAAATTTGTACGTTGATCATGGATCATCTGCGAGCCGGAATACTTAGACATAGAACTACTGCACTCACGATCGGCTTTTAGAGAAAATGGTTACGCGAACATCTAAGGATAAGGCAAAAAGGAATAACATTTCTGCCCTATAATACAAGGATGTACGAACAAGATGCTGCATCATAAGGAAAGATAATATTAATACCATCTTCAACATGTCAACGAAAACAGGGACTGTCTTTCCAGACGAGCTGCAGGGATGATCAGCAGTTACGGAAAGCAGGGTAAATACGTGATAGATTTAACCAGAGACGCTAGATAAGGAGCACGAACTCATACGGGAAAATTGACAAAATTTGTCAATTTAATAGTAATAATTACTTATAGTTTTTACCGCTAGGGACGCTAGTTTTCCTTGTACACCGACATTATTTTCATTATTTATTGATCTATTTAGCTACTACATGACATGATTGATTATTAATTTAAAGTGCCGCGTTTTTTATTTCCCCTCCATTATTTCGGGGTATGTGAGGCACTAGCGCTCTCTAATTTGGTAAGATATTTGTTTACATGGAGTTCGTGCTCCTTGTGTAGTCTCCATTCAAAATTCTAGTATGTTAGTCCGGTCAAATTAGACCAAAATATAAGAGTGAAGGTACATAAATTTGCAAGCTGAAAGTGAGTAAAATTGTTTAAAACATAATTAAAAATAACATATTAAAATTCCTCATCGTTCCGGTACTAGGAAAAAAATTTACTCGAGGTCAAAGGTAAAAAAATGGGTTTTTCGCGATTTTCAGCTGAACGGTAAGTTTTATCATAAAATTACTCCTGACAAAAATTGTAGATCATAAAATTATCTAGAAAAAATGAATCAATACTTTTTTCCTAAGATCCACCGTTTCTGAGATATAATGATTCAAAAAGTTGTAAAAGTTGTAATCGCCATAATATGCATAAGTACGCCACGTACTGAAGCTGTAATATAAGTACCATCTCTGAAGCTGTAATATAAGTAAAAATATTTTTCCATCGGTGATTGTAACTTACACTTAAAATATAAAATATACATAAGTATAACTATGAGAATATCAGGTAAAATGAAACCCAACCCCTTAATTTATACGCCAGTGTAACTTTGAGACAACACGCAATAACTGGCTGTGATACGACATCTGCATTTTACAGGAGAGGTAAAACAACAGTTTTTAAAATGTTTGAAAAACAAGATTTAGTTCAATGTGCTGAAGTTTTTAAAAACAGTAATTCAACTCCACAAGAAGTTATCACCAACGGAATTCGCTTTCTTCTTTCTATGTACGGAGCTCCTAAAAAAACTACCTGCTTAGATAAGTATCGATATGCATGTTTCGTTAAAAACACTCGAAATAAAAAACAAGTGCAATTAGCTTGTCTTCCTCCAACCTCAGTTGCTGCTCATCAACATCTTTTTCGGGTATATTACCAAGTTCAATTGTGGCTTGGTTATCAGCTAGACCAAAAGACTGGGGTTGGAAGTTGGTCGACAATACATTAGAACTAATTCAGAATAGGCCTATTGGGGAAACCACGTTAAAAAACGCGATAAGTACACTACCTTATAGGTGGCTTGGAAACGTGTGGATATTATGACGATTACAACTTTTACAACTATTTGAATCATTATATCTCAGAAACGGTGGATCTTAGGAAAAAAAGTATTGATGCATTTTTTATAGATAATTTTATGTTCTATAATTTTCATCAGAAGTAATTTTATGATAAAACTTACCGTTTAGCTGAAAATCGCGAAAAACCCATTTTTTTGACTTTTGACCTCGAGTAAATTTTTTTCCTAGTACCGGAACGATGAGGAATTTTAATATGTTATTTTTAATTATGTTTTGAACAACTTTACTCATTTTCAGCTTGTTGTAAATTTATGTATCTTTGAATGCCTAGATTGACCGGACTATGTGTGAAAAAGGGAATATTTTGGCCAAAACTCTACAGGGAGGCAATATAAATCCAGGAGAATCGAGAGAATTTCAGTCGCGATGAGAGTTAGAGCTACTTGAAATTTGGATCATGGACCAGAACGACATGAACCAATCCCTATAAGCCATGCACCGGGATGTAATGGATCAGCAAATATAAATACCAATCTCCTATTGAAACCTCTTCTCAAAACCTAAGCCAACGACAGAATCATCCGATAAATTGTTCAGCAGGTGCTTGTTCAGCTTTGTTTGTAGACTTCCGTAGCAGTTGTGAAATAATACGTATCTTATACCTATATGACATTTATATAAAAATATGTTCCTCTTTTGTAATATCACTGACTTTATAATATGAGTCTTTATGTCACGTTTTTTCATCCATACATCAAATAATATAAGTACCTATCTGATTTACAATTACAAATAATTTGGCGGAAATTTTAAGATTTCAAAAATTGAAAAATATGAGTATTTGATTTAAAAAATATGTAAGTATAGATTATTACTGAAAAACTTACACTTATAGAAAACAAAAAAAAATGAAAAAAGTAATGTACAACATATTGCATTATTGTACTACATATTTAAATATTTAGCATGTAATAGATACATAGCCTTCATCAATGATTACAAGTCACGTGGCTAGTAATTTTGTTTGGAACAGTTTTTATTTCCTTCATGTTGGCAATTAAATTTCGATAAAATACAAAATTATTAAAACAATAAGATCAAAACTACATTAAAACACAACATTCTGTTTCACCGCCTGTGATTGGCAGAGAGCGGACAATTTGTGACTTTAACCTTGAACATAGATATGTCATTCATAAACCTAGATACATTAACATTACCCATGACGCAGTGGCGTGTCGGGTATGCATCGGAAATTTACGTGATAATTCACGAAAATTCCACGGTACATACATTTTTAGGCGTTATAAAATATTTAGAAAATCAAAAATTGTATACTACATATTTATTAAATAAAGTTCGGTTAAAAATAGTGTCGTTCTTTTAATTGGAAATTAGCAGTCAATGTAACGAATACCCTCAGGCGACGCACATGATAGAATAGTCCAACTCACGCTCCATTCATAACAGGGCTGCAGTTTGAATTCTGGCCAATAGGAATTCGATAAACGCAACCGATGTCGATGGATGGACTAGAGATGGGCGCGAGTGACATTTCATTTCTTTAGAACTAAATTAACTTAATTATTTTCTCGTTATTTAACCTGTTCACATGATTTATGGATTTTAAATAAAGGGTACAAATCTTCGCGAGGATAATACGATATATTTGCTATACATAATAATTATATTTTGCATAGTTTATACACAATACATTTTTGAACGCGTACACATCTCTACCAAAATTTGACCTATTCTTCGGGTTAAAGTCACACATTGTCCGCTCTCTAGTGATTGGTTTCGAGCGTAGGTGTAACGATTTGTTATTGTTCATTGTAAACGGATCATTAATATAGGTGACTCCAAGATTTAGGAATTTTTCGTTAGAAGTATACCAGTCATGCAATGTTGGGTTAGGCAACAGCTCAGCGCTCACGTGGCTTAGAAATATTTATCAAGGTTCTGTACTAACGAATATAAACTAAATAATACATGTACATTTTAATTAGTTTCATTTAGTATTTAAAAACAGTTAGTGTGAAGGTGAATTATTGTTACATGATGAGACACTTTAATTTTATTCGAAAACTGTGTCCTTCAGCAACATTTCTGAGTACCTAATAGCTTTTTTAATTTTTCTTTGATGCTAGGTTTTAAATTTGCAATTCCCAAGAAGCAAAGAACTAAAATTTTGCTTTTAACAAGGTGGCTATGAAAAAGTGGGTTCCACGCAACCTATTTTTTTTTTTAATCCTGTGTAATGAGTCATCATAGACAAAAAAATCGTACCAAATTAGGTACTGATTCTTCGACGTGGTTTAAAAAGTATTTAAGAGGAACTACTGTTAACACATCATCTTTAAGCTGCTATAATGAGTCGGAATTGACCTTTACTTTGCTTGAATTATGTGTTTTTTGGCCTAAGGTGGTTTGGAAGCCCAATTAAGTGATATATTTTTTTATTAGTTGCATGACTTTCTATTTCTTATTCTTTATTAAAAAAAAATGGAAATAACAGATTATTCAGTAAATTAAAGTATAGCCGACACATATATCACATTTATGTAATGCATAGCAGTCGCGATGAAAGCTTAGGAAAATATTTTCATTCACTGGCAAACATAAACAGTTTCCTCTTTCTCGCACTGCTGACATGAAATCTGATAAAGACTCTCGTTGCTCCACCTGCAGTTGCAAGTTTCCTTTACTTTCTCCAGGCTAGTAGAAAATCCTCTACCGCAGCATAAAGTTGCGCAGTTATCTGTATTCTTACAGCGCCGCCCCACGGTCAGAGGACAAAAGTTGGGACTTTTTTCCAGGTATACCAGCTTCTGGTTATCGTCCTCTTTTTGGGGAATGTGAATGTTGTTGTCGGAATCTACCTGGATGGCGCCGTGATATCGATTTTTCAGTTCCTGTGCTATTAATTCGAATGGACGGAGTCTTTTCCAACATATTTTCATTGTGCAGGATCCTAAAAAATTGAGGATATTTACTATTTTGTTGTAATATAGAAACAAGGTGGACTCAAAACAAATCACAGATTGTAATATTAAAGAAAGGTACCTGAAAGACCGTGACATTTACATTTTTTCTCTTCACTCTCCATAACGACTTGCATGCCAATTTCGCTGTCGTATTTTAAAATATTACGCGGCGTATCACCTACAAATACAAAAAAAAAAATATTATTTTACTTTTGACAGTACTACCTACTACTGAAATATTGTTTTTTTACTCTGATTTACTTATTTTAATAACATCCTCTAAACTTATCTCCCAAACATTTCAATTTTATATGCGTACGATACTATCTAATTTATTAAATTTAAAATCAATCTTTTAAAATCTATTTGCATTTTTGTGAAATTTTCTTATGCGATAAAAAATATTTGTAATACTATGAATGTTTCAGAGAAACAGCTGTACTAGGTACTCATGGGAAGCATTTTAGAAGTTATGTTCGTATCATTTTTTTCTCATTGTTATGTGCAGGATCAACTATCAAATATAATACTGAATTCTCGAATATACAGGGTGATTCAGTTATAAATTAATTTTAACAATGTATCCGGAAGGCCTAATAAAGACAGAAAAAAAAGATTTTACTCGGCCTTTTAAAAAAGCAAATTACCTCTTAACTCCCGTTAATTCGACGCCCTACTTCGCGACACGAATCGCGCCGACGCGGCAGATCATAGAGCGTCCGAAGGTCGAAGCGAAACAGCTGATTTCTCCAGTCGTCTAGAATTTTGCAATTGGTTTCAAAATCAAAATGCAGCGGATCCTAAAACTTTATTAAGTTGTATGGACGAATTAGCGAGTGTTTATTTTAGCCATACTACTCTGTAAAAGCAATAAGTCACACAATAAGGTATACGTACTACAAACTGAATAATAATTAATTGATCATATTAAAAACTCATTTAATTATAAAACAAAGTTACGTTAACAATATTAAAAATACTAAATAGTATAATTTAATATTCGAAAACAATGATTATCATTTTACATTTGTTTAATTAACAAATAAATAATACTTGTTAATATTTAAAATGTAAACAAATAATTTATTCATTCATGTGTGGCTAAAAACCTATCTAAAGATTAAAAATGCATTAAAAGCTAGGTTAATGACCGCTTATTAGGGTAGGTCAAGGTTCTTTTTTCAGGAGCGGTCGGAAAAGGGATTTAAATAATGATTTGAAAATATTTTTTTCAGCTTATTCGTATTTTGCTCATTTTCCCTATCTTCCCTTAAAATTTATGACATTATGACTGAATCACCCTGTATTTACAGGGTGTAACTTTAAGTGGAAGTCAGTTTTTTTAGGGGTAATATTATGTGTTGTCCTGAATAAAAATATGATTTTTTTTAGTCAAATAAATAGTCGTTATAATTAATTTTTTAAACTATACTTTAATTCTTTTTCTAGCCGCCACTGGCAGCGTAAACCTGGACCCCTGCATTATAGCCTTTCCGAAGTCAGTTGTACAAAAAAAACGTCTGGTAATAAAATTTAATGAGCTTCATAGGCGCCCATAAAAAAATTTTCTACTGAAGGTAAAAAATTAGAATAATTTATATCATGTGTAGAAAATTTCTATTATATGTTATAAGGTTATAAGGTGCCTATAATAAATTAAAATTACATGAATCACACCAAATTCCGCATTGCTGCACTGCACTGCTGGGCAATTTATCAAACACTTGTCATCTGCTGTGATTTATTGCCCAGTAGCCCAATACAACTGTGATTGTTTTCCTTTGCCCGCGCTCGCATTCTTCAACTGAGCTTATACATTTCTATTGCCACCACGTTTAGTTCGATAAGACCTAAATAAATATGGGAACAAGTTTTTCAAATATTTCAATGCCGAGTTGCTGCGTCAGCGACCGAACCTGGTACATATGTACTATCAATCTGTTGGTTCTTCAATTGATATCGGAAAAACTATACCAGTTCAACTGTTAGATAGCGACCATGGAATATAATTTAGTAAAATAGATTGCTGTTGTAGGACTTCGCCACGTGTAATTTTAAAGTCACCATATTTTTTTTTATATAAATTTGGACGTAGGGCAAAACATTAAAAAACTATTTATTGTTTAAAGGTGACTATACATCTGGTTTGATATGAGGCGAAGATAAAAGAGTAGAGAACAAACCACTACGTTAATTTGGCGAAACAGAAATGGCCAAATACATTATCAGTCTCTATGTTGTGTAAATAAGTAACCATAAGAAGTTCAGTGTTTAGTTACAGTACAGTATATTTTTGTGCGATATGAATACGAATCAAGAAAAAGTTGACATGGTTGAACCCTACTTTTTGTAGGACAAAACAATACTGTTGTTAAAAGACGATATATATTATCCCGGCGTATAAGTACCGAATAAAAAAATGTTTGTAATATTGGTTCAGCAATACGCTAATATTGGACAAGAACAAACTCAGAGTGAGAACCATAAACTTCAACGTCGTGGAAGAAGATACTGCTAGTAGTGCCTGAAAATTAGCTACTACGTTTATATGTGTATACATACATACATTGTTTCATTCGAGTTCCATATAATAGGAGGTATTATAATTTCAAAGAGACAAAATTTCTGTAGAAAATCAACTTCGTATTGAAAATTGTAATTTACAGAATCATAGGCATACGCGTAAAAAGATATGAAGAAAAGTTTTCGGTAATTTTGGACTATAGCGGAGAATTCACAAAAATGTATAAAATTTTCTCTGCCCCCGTATTTTCGGGGGATATTGAATACTAATATGAAATTATTTTTGTGCGGTCTATACAGGGTGTGGCGTGTATAATCTATAAAAATTAAACTGCAGCTTCTTAACGATATTTGTAATAGAATCTATTCTATTTTTGCGTTTTTTTTTTTCGTAAATTAGAGTTCAATTATGGATCAAAATATTTTCTTTAAAACGGTCCTGTCCGTGTACGATGAGTTACGTGCTGTAGATCAGTCGCGTAAAAATCGTCCTTGAAAGATAGAAAGATACTTCTGAATTTTGGGGGAATTTTTCAATGCAAATTCAATGCATTGTTGTTACTGCAAGAGTTCGCAAACAAAACCACATCCGTAAGCATCTGTAGTTGTCAACTGCGTGCACTTAACAAACTCTATTAAAATATGGAACAAAATGAAATAAAAGTTACCATTTCTAGGGAAAATGTTGAAATTGATCCCCATTAGCGCGGATACAGGCATGGCACCGACGCACCCAATTTTGGCGAATATTTTCCCAAATTCCAGGTATTCTCCTAATTGTGTCAGCAGGTTCAAGTATACGGTTTCGCAATTCTTCCACCGTAGCAATTGGAATATTGTAAACCAATGACTTCAAGTGACTCCAAAGATAAAAATCCATTGGAGTTAGATCGGGTGACCGAGGTAGCTATGGCACAGGACCAAAGTGTCCAATCCATCGCTGAGGAAACATTTCATTGAAAAGTGTCGTTACTTCTCGAGTACTGTGTGGAGGAGCCTCATCTTGAAGATAAAACATGCGTGCCCGAACTTGTAATGTCACATCGTCCAAAAAGTCAGCACATGTTGGTCCATCTAGTCGTCCTTCAAAGAAATAAGTACCCACAAGTACATCGCCTATTATGCGAGCCCAAACATGTACCGAGAACCGATGTTGAAAATTAGTTTCTCTAATCGCGTGGGGATTTTCATCGGCCCATATGTGCATATTATGGAAATTCACTTCATCACGGGTAAATGTCGCCTCATCTGTTACACAAACATAAGCAGGAAAGTCTACTTAATTGGCACATTGCCGTAAAAACCATTTGCAAAAACGCATTCGTTGATCACAATCCGGGGGTAAAATCTGTTGAACTGGTTGCAAATGATAGGGGTGCAACAGTTGGCGCCTTAAGATGCGATGTACGGTACGAGATGAGGTTCCTACTTGCTGTGCGAGACGTTGAGTAATAATAGTGGGGTCTTCGTCGAGATTTTCCAACACTGCATCTTCAACATTAAAGTTCACTTGCTGACCACGTCCACTCCTCGAGGAATAACACTTCCGTATCTCGCAGCCGCTGAACGCACTGTAGGATTGTATTTGCACATGGGGGGTGATGTTGTGGCCATCGTTCCCAGTACAACCCAGTCGCCGCGAGCGCAATTTCTCCGGCTGCACCATACACTAACACCATATCGACACGTTCGGAAATAGTAAATGCATTATTTTCTCGGTTCATTGTACTAAAAAATTAAGTAACGTAAGAAATAAGAATCTCGTTTTTAATGTAATCGGCACGCTATTCTTATTTTTTACTTCTTTATAAAAATTACAGTCACTATCGTGGAATTACAAAATAAAAACTTTTGTCTGGAATCTTTCACTTTTTAACACTGATGCGTTGATGGTCGATGCTTAATATTTAATAATTAAGTGAATAATGAATTCAATACAAATACAATATCAGTTGATTGCACAATTTGATTTTGAATGTAACCTAACCTTCTTTTAGTATTACTAGTATTATATTATACCGACTTAAACTATAAGGTTGCATCTCGGGTCGCATAAAAACATTTCCTAAATTTTTAATTAATAATACAGGGTCGGTCTTCCTTTTCGTTGAATAAATGAATTTTAATTTACAAAAAAGATACGCGAATATAAAACTTCTTCGTATAAGAGTTTTCTATTACAAATATCATCAGGAAGCTGTAGTTTTTACAGATTATACAAGTCACACCCTGTATAAAGTTAGGTCAATTTTTTTATATCATTTTGAAAAACAACAATAAATCTTATCTGAATGTTAATAGTCTTTCGTGTCCCATACAGCACTTACCTTTTCTTTTCAATTGGAATATTTTATTGGTAAAAGTTTTCGCAAATTTCGTATTGTCGCCACATCCGCCCCATTGCCACTTGGATGAGTTGTCAGACTTTCCATGGCTGGCACATTTACAATTAGATAGTTTTCCCTCGGCACAGGCTCTGGCTACTAAATACATAAATGCTGAAGTGGTCAGTGAGTACATAAAAGCTGTCTCGCGGTAGACTTTCTTGAAAAATTTCTTCGTATTCGAACAGTTCCATTGCTCAAACCTTAAAACGATGGGATTTTCATATGTAATTATTTTTTAGCTTCTCTACTGAACATCTTACATAAAAATTGCAACAAAGTGATGTTGAATAATAATTTAAATTAAGTTATCAAGGGTAACAGCATATACAGTGTGCCATCGAAAGTGGAGTTTTCTTTCGTTTCAATCTTTAGGATACTTTTATAGGGTTCTGTGATAATTTGGCTCATTTTGGACCAATAAGTGGTCTAAAGCCAGCTGTTCAACATAGAGGGCGTTACTGTTATAAAATCAAATATTTATATAAATGTTTCTGAAGATACTTGATGTTGATTAATGTAACTTGAGCTAATGATTTATTTAAAGGAAAAATATACTTAGAGGTAGTGTCGCTAGGAAACAAAAGATCAGTAGGGTGTGTTAATTTATGAATGCAATCCCACACATTACAAAAATCTAAGAATGTAAATAATATCCATTCAATGAAGTATTAAGGCACTTTCAAATAATCTTTGAATAAAGTAAAAAATACATTAATATACAACTAAATCTTATTCTTTATAATACTTACTGAAATTGTTGCTTACAAGAGTTGATTGTTAATTTTTTAGTTTCCAATAATAATTCAGCTAATCCTTTTCTTTTTGCGCAAAGTCTAGCTTGATGCTTCAAATGTTTTAACCATCGACATAGACCTTTTCTGCTTCTTGTCGTGTTATATGTTGTAAAATTGCTTGTAAATACTACAGCTACAAATGATTTTCGTCTAGAGACTTTGGTTGTTGTTCTGAAACACATAAAAATATGTGTTACTATTTGGAAAATTTTACATACTCTAGGTAGTTATAGGGTAAATCTAGGAGAGATGACGCACATTTTTTAAAATAACTATAAAATACGTGAAATTGAAAATAAAGAGCAAAACTGCAGATTGCGATAAAAGAGCTTACTAAGTTATAATATATGACTTCAAATATGACAAAATGTCGGAGATTTTGGTAAAACTAACATTTTTTTTTCTTATGGCTGCGTCATCTCACCTTAGGTATCGAGGTGAGATAACGCAGTATGTTAAACGATCGCACATTTTTATTTTTTTATAAATTTGTATTAAAACTTCATATAATTTACTTTTGGATTATTTTGAAATTTATTAATAATAATTATTATAAATACTCATTATTGTAGTTAGACAAAGAAGCATACACTCTGAACGAAAACGTAATTGTTTTCGTATTGCTATTTATTTCCTCTTAAAAAAAATCTAACCATGCGTACATAGCCTGCCTTGCGAGATTTTCTGTTGAAATTGTATGGTAATTCTAGTTTTTCTGCTAACTCAAAAGCTATAAAGCGCATAAAGGATTTCGTAAGTACAAATTCATGTCTTTTCAACATTTCTTTACTAATTTATCCTATTGTGGGCTCCTAGTGTACTTTGTAGTATAACAACCCTAGGTTCGACAAAAAATAAGTAAACGTAGTTGTGGCCAAAAATATGTGATCGTCATAAGGACTACCTACGTTGTGTGTATCCATTTTTAATTGACCGGAAGGCGCTGGCTACTAACTTTGTAGAGGGGATGTATGGTTTAATTATATAAAAACAAAAGCAGAGTAAATACACCTAACCTTTATTTACACACAATTCAAATTAAACAAGTGACAAATAGAATGAACAACAAAAACGTTAACAACCATTTAACATAGAATGAGACTGCCAAGCTCACCTAGAGCTCCTGCGGGGAAAGAGAATGGCAGAGAAACCCACGATCGTTGCTCTTACCACCTAAATATAAACCCAAAACAACCGCTAACCAAAGGCATACATTAAGAACCTCTGCTAATGATCATCAAAACTGGACTTATTTAATTTCTCACTAAATGTCATCTCACTCAAGTCTGACATACACACTTCCAAGTAAAACTGAAGAGGTTTTAGTAACAATAATAGCAACAACAACAACAACAACAATAATAATAATAATAACAATAATAATAGGGAAGGTACTGGAGTCCCATAATACGGGATGCTATCCAGCTAAAGTTGAGATTTCGGGAGAACAACAACAATAATAACAATAATAATAATCATGGGTGAAAATGTTAGTAAATTCAACAACGCTCTTACATACGTATGACATAAAGTGAGCACAAGAAATCAAAGCACAACGTAATCAAGATAAAACAAGTTAAATGTGAAACAAAGAAGTTGTTTTGCAATATCTGAGCAGACACGACAATATATACATATTTTCAACAATAATGAGCAATCGTTAATAATAATTGTAACAATTTTATCTTAGAGAAATATACGTCCCTGAGCGTAAGACAATGAAGGCCAAACATATACAGAATTATTATCATGAAACATCTATATTTTACGTATAACGTAATCGTGGCAAAAACAAGTTAGATGTGAAACAAAGAAGTCGTTATTGTAATGTCTGGCAATCAGGACAATACATATATTTTCACATGAAATAAATAATGGGCAAACTTTAAGTATAATTATAACAATTTTACCTTAGAAAAATATATGCCCTTGAGCATAAAGCAATGGAAGCTAAACTTACAAAGAATTATTATCATGAAACATATATAATCATCACAATCATAAGATTATATAGAACAATTAACAACAAAGTACTTAAAAAATATTACCTGCTAATTAATAACACTTTAAACAATTAACTTTTCACTACTTTGACACACTGCCCGCCGATCGTCTTACTACCGATCTCCACACTGTTCGCACTTCAACTGCCTATCTTCAACTCCTTTGGCTTCCTTCCAGAATTTCCTACCTAACGACCGTTAATATTACTTTTTCATTGTTATACAACACCTATGTAACAGGTGACGTCGAAGTTGATAAGATAAGTACGGTTTTGCACAACTTGAAGGTCCAAACGGTTTGGTTTGAGGTCTTCACATTTCCTTCGGCGTCGCAAAGTGCATTCGGGGCTACCGAATTCGCGACCTGCCTCAGGAATACCCATCAGTGCTCTATCGATAGCACTGATTGCTTTAGACAACTGTTCTATTGTCCCCTCTCCTCTTCTAACGTTTCCTTTTCTTTTATATCATATCGTCGGTATGCTATGAAATAAATTAATAACATTTCTGACAAAATAAAATTTTGAATGATGTGTCTATCATTGCGCCAACTCTCCTTACGCATACGTGCGTCAACTCACCTTACATTATAAGGTGAGTTGACGCAGCAACTTTTAACGAAATTCGTTAGAGGAAATGTGTGAAATTGAGGTTAGAACTACTTAACTACTCATTATCTACAACAGAATCCTTGATGTGAAAATATTTAGTGTAACCTCAATAAATTTAACAAAATACTGTCACTAATACTACTCAAATATAACTGTATTTTATACGTATATATGTGACGACATAATAAGAATTACCGGTGTTGCCAAATATACACTATGAACAATAATTGTGCCAGAACGAGCAGTGCGTCATCTCACCTGATGCGTCATCTCTCCTAGATTTACCCTAAGCATATTTAAAGTAAAACATCTTGTCCAAATGGGCACTCTTCAAAATACGAGCACTTTCCTATAAAGGGTGATCGAGCAAAATATTTGTGGAGTGATTCTAATAAAAATAATTGTTGTCATGACACTTTTCAAAAATTCAACATTATATGAGGCAGTTAGATAACCTTAATCTCAAAGAGCTTATACGGTCTTACTAAATATAGTATTAGTATTAATAAAAGACGTAACAAAAAGTTCTCTTTTTCCAAGTCGATAATATTAGCAGTGTCTAAGACAAAAATTCAGAATGTTTTGGTACAACCCTTAAAAAAGTAAAATTTACCTATTTTGCGCACATACGAAGCAGGATTTGATCATAAAAAATGTTACTATTATATAATATAAGTTTCAAAATGTGCCTTATCTTCTCAATCAAAGTATTATCGTGAAACATTGAATGAGTTCTTTCTCGGAAATGGTTAATATTAGTGATTTGAAATATTTTAATACTGAATGTCAAGTTGTTTAATTTTTTGAAACGCCACAAATAAAAAACTATTAATATACTATGACTTGTTCGTGTTATTACGTCATGATAAAACATTTCCTACGCTCAGCTAGGAATTGGTGACTTGCCCCATTATTTGACTGTTCCTCAGACAATAGTACTTTGCAAAATCTTTGTCGAATTTAAGATTACTTGATACGTTGTCACCGGTTTTATAGCGTCTGTGTCGTTGCGCGTACAACTAGGTCAGATCGGGTTTATCTCTAGTGATGTAATTAGCGTCATACGCCCCTCCAGTTCTGTGCAGTACAGTTGTAGGAGTAGGGAGGGAGGCCCCGTGTACGTCACCGATGATGTCGGTAGAGTTGTTTCAAAATTTTATGAGCTTTGACCTTCAAATGCGCAGAAACATAATTTCGACCGTCGGCGTCGTCTAAATTATTCTACGTCCTAAAAACATTACAGCTGTCGTAGCGTAAACAAGCCTTTGATCCGATTACAATCACAATAAAATGTTCTATTATTTATTATTTTAATTTAAGCAATAAAAATATTCGAACATTCGCCAGTTGACTTTATTGATACCCAAGCGCCTTAGTTCATTTCTGGTTGTAATGAGGCACCTAGTCTAATTCTCAGTCAATGTTTTCACAACGTGCTTATTAGAAGAATTATGCGGATACGCACGCCTTTCGCGCATTTCGCGGCTCATGAGATTTTGAAACTAATCTACCATTGCGCACGCTTCTAATCTTGTGGAGTATGGTAAACTGCGTAACCTCGGATATACCTCATACCTTGGGAATGTGAAAAGGATTGTATTGGTTATTGGTTATTATAAGAAAGAAGGAACATGAAAGTGCCTTAAAAATTCCGAAGACACCGAAGTATTTGTGGAAACGACAGGGTTTTCCAACCTGGTGAAACCATTCCCCTGACTTGACAGTCGACTTAGATGTACGTCAGCGACACCGACGCTATAAGACCAGTGTCCATGCCTCAAACGGCCTCAGTCGCGGCGAAGCTCTTGGCGGGTCACCACCAAGCTGATGACAGGGAAGGACGACTAAACGTTTAATAATGTTATAATAATTGGATGCGACCAGATACAGAAATCACTACAGAACATCTCAGAGGACTACCATTGCAAGAGGAGCGATTTTATCCGTACTGATCCTAGAACCAACAATACGAACCGACATTAATCGAGAGGGCCGGCCTAGGCGTTCTGATAGAAGGTCTGCTTCCACAGACCTGGTCCAGGAGTAACAACGGCAGGTCAAACATTCCTTGTTAAGGCTAAATAAATACATTGTCTTAACTGGTGGCGACTGGGTACATAAGTCGCGGCAATCCAAAAAGAAACATGGTACATAATAGCATGGTCCTAGAAAGCTTTAGAACTATTACCATTTAAACTGAGATTACTTAAAGAATCATTACACAATACGTTTTAGATTATTATCTGATAGCATGCAGTCTTATTTGAATTCTATCTCATGATAAATTTTTAAATTATCTGCATACAATAAGCACTGGTCATTTGTGATTTTGACTAAGCCACATCAAATAACAACGGTCCTAAGTTACTTCCTTGGGGAACTCCATATGAAGCTGAGTATTTCATAGATTTAAGATCAAGAAAGGCAACATGTTGTTTTCTGTTTGTTAAGTAAAATTTGAACAAACTGAATAAAGATAATATACCACACATTATTAATTATATTAAGGGTAGTCTATGGTAAATCTGTTGAATGCTTTATATACAGGGTGGCCAAATGAAAACGAAACAGAGCCATTTTCAGGAACTGAAAGAGCTTTCAAAATAAATATTACTCAACCCCCAATGCCATTTACATATTTTCGGATGATGCTTACCCTTGCTTGGGGGTGAAAGTGGCGGAGTCAAAAATACCAGAAAAGAATGTCCTCCTTTAATCTAAAATCGACGGGTCAGAGCGTTTTTCTACAATCTTGACGCAGTTCCTGAAAATGGCTCTGTTTCGTTTTCATTTGGCCACCCTGTATTATTCAATAATCTGCACACGAAAAAATGCTTATTTGAACATGGGACCTTCCAAACATGGGTGCTGGCAATTTATTTTTGTTATATACCTCTCGATCCACTTTGGATATAAATTTTAGTACACCAGTTACTGTCATTAAACACTATTTTTTGAAGCAGGCAATTATTTTTAATTTGAATCAAGAGCATCCTGATAAAGAGGCGGTCAGAATATTTTACTCCAATTCTCTTAGTTCTGTAAAAATTTATCTGAGTAACAGTTTTACAGAAAAAAAAACTCCATAGACAGTACCTACACTATACCACCATTTGGAAAGCTTTTTCTGGAAAATTGGTACATTAGTGAATTTTCAGAGAATAACTTTTGTTATTCTCTGAATTAAAATTTCAAAAATAATTTAAAAATCATGTTTTCATGTGTCGAATAATTTCTAAGTTTACGCGTATAGATTAAAGCTAACCTTGTACGATACACAAATATTTTTGCAGTTTTGGCGGAGTCGCCAATGTCAATCTAGTTCAGTCACAAGATCAATACAATCGTTGAAAACTAAGGGAATTCAAGTTTGCTGAAGGTGTATGCTTTTTTTTATTAACTTTTCCACTTTACAAATATCACACCTCTTCCGTTTCTTCTTTTTTACGACGTCCAAGCGGATATGCTATGAGTTAACATAATAAAAGCATATCCAAATCAATTATTTGCATTCTCAAAGCCAAACAATATACTTGTGTATTTTTGTGTTCTCAAAAATAGTATTCCGTAAGGTCTTACATTAAAATTAGCCCGGAATAACGCTTTTACTGTTACCATTTATATAAAAATCCTGATATGTTAATTAAGGTTTTAAACGCACTATTAACTAGTTAAAATACGTTTTAATAAAGCAAGAAAATGCCATTTACACCCACATAAGAAATTAGTAGCCGTTAATTAAAATAATTATACCTACTAACTTTATCTGAAGGTGTAATAATGGGACTCAGAATAAAAACTAAGTTATTAGTTATGCAAATTGTACGTTTATTAATAATAATGAAATTAAAAGAAACGGAATGCATTAGAAATAATTCTGCCTATCGTATAAATCACACTCACTCACACGTGGGTGTCCCGGTGTATTGGTTTAATAACTTTTTTAATGGATGTGAACCATAAAAAAACATAACTGAAAAAATTAAAGTAGAATTGCGTCGACATGAAATAGGTATATCAAACCAGTCTTTTGTGAATTTTTTATTTATATTGACACGATGATTTGCGAAAATTAGAAAAAAGTAATTAATATAATTTTAATTGCTATTTACGCTTGTTTTTTTTTTAGTGATACCTACAATCGTATTGATAAAGTATATTTAACATTTTCTGATTTACACGAAAAATATTGCTAAGGTGCATAATATTTTTACAAAAACTAGGTATGTATAAACACAGGGGTGTAGAAGGAAACTACATTCTATTAAAAATATATAAGGCATTTGTCATTTAAAAATTTCGTGTAGAGTAGATTTAAATTTCTTTTCTGAATGGAACGTGGTAGCACTGTACTCTACTCTGACGAGTAGTTTGGGCACCATCTGTCAGGTAATTTGTTTACAGCAGTTAATGTTTATAGTCCGCCTAAAGTGCGTTTCATGATTTTTACTATGGATAATGTTATTAAACAAAGAGTTTCCCAAAAATATTTTGCTACCAACGGAATTTCTTGTGCTGAATCGTTGAAAATATTGAGGTAATTCAGTTATTCTGAAAACTCAAGCATACGAATGGTACAAAGTATACCTACAAACATGGTTGAGAAGTCGTTGATGATTTGCCACGTTCTTCTTCTTTCCTCAACGTCTTCAACTAAACACAACATCGGTAAAGCGAAGAAAATGGTGCTTGCAAACCGTCATTATAATTTGAGAGAGCTGGCATATGAACTAAACATATTTCACGAATCAGATCGCACCGTTTTAATTGATATTTTGGGTATGAAACGCATCTTAGCTGGTTCCAAAAGAGCTGAATTTTCTTCAAAAAAGCATTGCAAACATATTGCTGCTGAAGACATGCTTGAACCAAGTCAAAGTCGATCAAAAATCAAAGTCATATTCATTATTTTTTTTTACTATCGTAGTGTTCTCCATATATAATTCCTACCGGATAAAGAAACAGTTAATAAGAAATGTTATCTGGACGTTATAAAGCGTTTGAGAGAGAGTATCCGTCGCAAAAGAGAGTTATAGAAGGATAATTCTTGGATTTTGCAAACGATGCACCATCACACAAAGCGATAGTTGTGAATTGATTTTTGGCCAAAAACTCAACGAATGTCACCGAGCAGCCACCGTATTCGCTAGATGTGGCCCCCGTTGACTTTTTCCTCTTCCCAAAACTCAAATTACTACTTCTTTCAACACGTTACGAGTCAATAGAAACCATGAAACAAAAATTCCTGAAAGAGTTGGAATATGCGATTAAAACGTGCTTTGATGACTGGGTTATTCGTTGAAAAAAGTGTATTGTTTCGAATGGAGCCTATCTTGAAGGAGACAAAATAAATGTTAATAATTAATTAAAAATATTTTGCTTTATTGGCAAATTTTGGATACTTTTTTGACAATGTATGAGCATTTGTATTTGTCCTGCATAATTTTAATTGTTTTTAAGGATTGACCTATAATATTAAAAAACTTTTCGTCGGAAACAGTTAATATTACTTACGTGGAACATGACCTTTTTGTAAGTTGTTTTAATTATTTATATTATTAATTCTCATAATTTTTGGCACAAATTAATATTTATTGCTTAGTAATCAATAGAAGCCCTGTAGAAGTCTCTTGTAAATTTAAACTTGAACAAATAAAAAAGTTAAGACAAATTTTCTGGTCATTAAGACCCTTTAAGACCTCAAAATTTAATAGTATTTATTAAACTCCAAAACAATTCTATACGAAAAAAAGTCTGTTAATATTTTTACAATTTCCGAAACTAAAAGTTATACAATTTATGAAGAAAATAAAAGAAGAAAAATACACTTGTATTTATTTCATTAAGTAAATAAGGCGTTTTATAAATAGGCATTTGGCAAAAAATTGGTCAAGCATAAATATGATATAAGTAGTTTAAGAAATAGTAATTATATATAAATATCTAACAATAAGTAAAATTTTCTTTTTTATAGTATATAATTCGCAAAATATTTAGGTAAAATTGGTTTCTACAATGTGTTCTAAATTTGACAAATATCTGCTATTTAGTTTTTAATTTATAGATAATTCCAAATTATTCAAAGAAATAACTCTAATAGAAAATCTGATCGAAAAATGCTATACGAATGATTATCACTTACTTATTTAATTCGGCGCCAGTGTTACTATTCAACAAACTATACAAAAACAGTATCACAACCAGACTTGTTACGTTAACTGTGGAAGAAATTTTCATCGTTGGTACTACATGGCTCTCTAGACTTAACTGAATGCAGGAAATTGGTGTAAAGTGTATTCTCATGATTCGTCACAAGCAAACAAATAATATATTGTCTACCTAATGTCTGAGACATTTGTGTGTGAGCAATATGTTCAATATTGGCCAAGGTTTTATGGTTATAAAAAATATTACTGACAAAAAAATTTTAAAAGTGAGAGGTTTCCCACATAATGCTAAACAGCTGCAAAAATAGTGTATTTGAGGGAAATACTTCTAAGGTTTTGAAAACTATGAATTAGTTTTGCAGAAAAACATTATAATATAGAAGCAGAGAATTTTTCTCTAGATTTTGTGCTTAAATTTTTATTACCGGATGACTATTAAAAATAAACAATATACATTTATAACACACTACTGTAAAATTCCACAACTAAATTTACTTACAATATCTACTTAATGATGAATAGACTGCGGTGTCCATAAAAATGAGCAAAAAATATAGAATCTTTTGCCAAACGATAAGAAGGTGTACCCTAATAAAAAGTTATTATGCCTTAATAACGGCAACAATGAAAGTAATAAAATAATATCGGTGCCTTTTAGATTGCCTGCTTCAATACCTGGGAAATGATATTATAAATTTTTAAGGTGACGTAAGGTATGATCAAAAGTATTAGGTTGAAAATATTAGAATGGTAATAATTGGTAAAGGACTAATAACGTCCCGCTGATTCATCTAATTATTATGATCATAGTTCATCAGACACATTCATTAGCTATTTAAATTTTCTCTTTTTATTAGTTATTTGATATCAAAACAGAAGTTCTAATATGCTAAAGTCTATATCGTCGTTGATAACTGAAAGGGGTGTAAGCACTAAAACAGCTATTTGAGTAATTTTTAGGAAAACAATATGAAGATTATCATTACAAGCGAATTTTTTGTGGCATGTATAATGGATATATTACATGTTAATATATCGCTTACGCTAACTTGCAAAAATCAACGACAATATACATATACTTCTCATTTTCAATTGCAAGATGATACTATTTCATCAGAATATACACAATATTTACCGTACTTATAGATTTTTATATTTTTTATATTATCTCAGAACGATAAGTATATTGCATTTAATTATAACTTCAATGAATCAGTTGCTTATTTCTAAATGTACAAGAAAATACAGGGTGTGGCGTGTATAATCTGTAAAAATGATATTTGTAATAGAAATTTCTTAATCGAAAAAGTTCTATTTTTGCTTTTTTTCTCGTAAATTAAAGTTCAGTTATGGATCAAAGTATTTTCTCTGGAACGGTCCTGTCCGTGTGATGTACGATGAGTTACGTGCTGCAGACCAGCCGCGTATATAGATCGTTGTTGAAAGACATAAAGATACTTCTCAATTTTTGGGGAATTTTTCAATGCAAAACAACAAACTAAGAAAAATAGATGTTAAAAAAAACTGATATTTTCTTATTATAATAATAATCAATAGTAATTACTATCTTAAATGCATTATTGTTACTGCAAGAGTTCGCAAACAAAACCACATCCTTAAGGATCTGTAGTTGCCAACTGCGTGCACTAAACAAATTCCATTAAAATATGGAACAAAATGAAATAAAACTTACCATTTCTAGAGAAAATGTTGAAATTGATCCCAATTAGCGCGGGTACAGGCATGGCACCGACGCACCCAGTCTAATTGATTGGCACATTGCCGTAAAAACCATCTGCAAAAACGCATTCGTTGATCACAATCCGTGGGTAAAATACTAATTATGGGGTCTTCGTCAAGATTTTACAATACTGCATCTTCAACATTAAGGTTCACTTGCTAACCACGTCCTCTTCGAGGAATAAGACTTCCTGTATCTCACAGCCGCTGAACGCACTGTAGGATTGGATTTGCACATAGGGGGCGACGTTGTGGCCATTGTTCCTGGTACAACCTAGTCGCCGCGAGCTCATTTCCTCCGGCTGCACCATACACTAACACCATATTGACACGTTCGGAAATAGTAAATGCATTGTTTTCTCGGCTCATTGTAAAACTAGTTTGTGCACAAACTAAAAAATTAAACAGAGTAAGAAATAAGAATCTCGTTTTTTATGTAATCGGCACGCTATTCTTATGTTTTACTTCTTTATAAAAATTACACTGTCACTATCGTGAAATTAAAAAATAAAAACTTTTGTCTGGAATCTTTCACTTTTTAACACAAGATCTAAAACCTGAACGCCATATAAATGTTTAACTTATAGTTAGGTACGTAATTTGATAAACAATAATTTTCTAAGTAGAAATCTACTGTGGAATTTTTCGAATATTAAAAGAAGTCCATTTTTTAGTCATTTCAGAATTTTATATCTCATGCTCTATATAACCTAGAAACTTGGACAAAACGGCATTTTTTTCTGCTGACTATTTTTGAAGAAAAAAAATATATTTTTTTCTAAACTTAAATCTGGCTTGGCTAGGCGCTTTTAACTGAATCACAATTCTATCGAAATTTTGCTTATTTTTAAAACATCCGCACATCTAAAGTTTTTCTAGTAGAAGGCTCAACAATGGCTTAGATATATATTTTGTTCAGTTATATTCTGTTGGAGTCTACCCTAATTTTCATTGATTGTAACTCTTTAGATATATGACATCGCAAAGCTAAGCCATTTTTTGAAAATGGTTTTTTTCTATCAATTCGAAATTTTGAGAGAATATACTTCATTACAAACAACATTAAAAATTTGGAATAGAAGTGGTCAACGAGCTGTCAATTTTTAAAATCCTGACGAAATGAAATAGGTACGTTAAATATTTTAAACAAATGTTTAAAAATATATAGAAATATGAAAATATGATTCGATATTGGAAAATATCTCAAGAATTATAATGGTAAGTGATAACGAGTAAAGATTCTGTTCACCATGGTATATCACGCTGTCACAAAAATATAGATCTCGATGCTGTCCACAGGTTGTTGTACTACCTGAACCTGCAATATTAACTCTATTGCCAATGCTAACACAAGAAATCTTTGAGTAAACCAAAGCCCACAGAAACAAAAGTACGGCCAACTAAACTGACTATTGTCAATATCCTCAGTAAATATGTGTTTTACGGATTGTTGTGTTTTATTCTGTTTGCTAAATGTCACTTTAACCTGTAAAATAAGCAAACACTTTCAAGTGACAGCACGAAATTTTACTTTGTTTTGGAACGTTGTGAAAATTTATTCTTTGGTTTATAATGTAAACGACATCTAAGTTTTTTTCTATTTATATAGTAATAAGGTGTATATTTTCCTCATATTTCTATTGTTTGGTCTGTGGTTTACAATATCTTCATTTCATGGTCCATATTAGAGAGCAAATATAAAAATAATAATTATTATTTATCTAAAGATAATATGCCTTGACCAATAATTTGTGTTTCAATTGGGATTACCTTCTATATTTTGTAAAAAAAATTATAACAATGTTTAGAAAGTTGGTGTAGTATCTGAAGGCTTAAAATTTTTCAAAAAGCTGTCACAATATGAAAATGAAATATGCAAGGTTAATTATTTATATAAAAACGCAAAAAGAAAGCACTTAATTTTATTTCTTCTATATTTTAAGAAAAACTCGTTATAAAAAATTATTTCTACACGACCTCTACACGAAATTTAATAATTCTGAAATAAATTTTGATAACAAAAAGTTAATATTAAAGCTGTTGTTATGGATGGTTGAAAATATGTAGTCTTTATTTTCAATTTAATAGAATTTTATCAATAAAATTTCAGAATGACATTGGGGTATTCTATATCACCAGTTTTAAGTAATACTTTTATGAATCTTTTTAAAAGAAAACAATATATTAATGATTTAAATAAAAAGCTCACCATTTGGTGGAGATATGTACACGACATTTTTACAATTTGGCTTTATACCATTGAGGAATTAAAGTATTAGCATGTTCATTGTGAAAAAATTATTTCTAATGGGAGTAGCTTAAGATATATTTTCGGCACCTTGCGATCTCTACTTGACGAAATGTAAAGGTAGGGTCAGTATTAAAATATGGCAAATGTAAAGGTAGGGTCAGTATTAAAATATGGCATATGTTTTTGAACCATTTCCATATATAGATCGAACGTTTTTACGTGACAAAAGCGTCATTTTTATTTGCGCTTGTCAAAGCTGACTCTGACTAAGATTCACATAAAGTACTTAATAGGTTCCTTGGTTGCATAAAACCGTATTGAAATATAAAAAATCACACTCTCTATGCTTGTCTCTATTCATCATCTGATACTTAGACTTCCATACTAATCATACCTTTCACGTTATAGACGTCCTTTTTATATTTTTAAAATGTTAGTGTATTTATTTTCTGCACTATAATAAGTACGGATAAATTTATTTTTATAATTCTACAACTTATTCCACAAAATTCGGTATATGTATTCGAAGTTAGATGTAATAAAATAATTTAGATTAGATAGAACTTAATGAGGATGATATTGGGAACTTTGTCTGAATATTTTTTAGACATGACCTAAGTTAGCTGCTTGTAGAAAATAAAAATTATTCATACAAAGAAAATTAAAAAAATATTTACGGGTCAATTATGTGCTGTAATTCTCTAAACTCTTAAATGAAAATTTATCATTTTCCTGTATTCTTTCAGAAAATAGTGCCTTAGATTTTAGAGGAAAACAAACATTTTTTAGGGAAATAATCCTTTATTGTCTTTTTTTTATTTACGTCCTTGGAGTTACAACAAAAAACTTTTCCACTTTAAACATGTATGTCATTCTGATAATGCATTCAAGGTGTTTACTTCAATAAGTACAATTTTTAGAATAACATATATTTTCCATGATGATGTATAAAGCCAATAATACATTATGTTCAGCTGTTTTAGATATGTCTGGAACCAAAATAATTTCTATGTAAGATAGACTTCAGGGAAACTGGACAAATGCATGACCAGGAATATTGTTAAGCCAATACTAAAGGTGAAGAGCCACTTTCAAG